TAACAAGGATATCCAGGACTTGAACTCAGACCTGGAACAAGTAAACTTAATAAACATTTATAGAACTCTCCACCCCAAATACACAAAACATGCATTCTTATCAGTACCACATCACACGTACTCTAGAAGTGATTACATAATTGGAAGTAAATCACTCCTCAGCAATTGCATAGCATTTCACAGACTTAAATGAAATATTGGTTGGCTTCTTGTTTGTTATTTTCCTCCCTTATTCCTTCCTGTCTCCACTGTTAAGCACAATTATTGGCATAAAAGAGGTTTTTAATACCCATTTTTAGACTGCATTCTAGCCAGGGCAATAAAGCAAGACTCCCATTCTCTCTCCCTCTTTCTCTTCCTCTTTCTCTCTTTTATTCTTTTTTCTTTCTCTCTTCCTTTCTTTTTTCTTTCTTTCCTCCAGTTCTCTCTCCCTCTTTCTCTCTCTTTATTTCTTTTCTTTCTTTCTCCTTCTTTCCTTCCTTCCTTCCTAAAAAAAAAACAAAAACACACACACACACAAACTTCTGCCAAAGCCTCTGGACAAAGTGTAAAATCTCTGACTGCAACAAGAAGAAAATCCAAGCCAGTCTTCAGGCTGCCATTCTGTGCTGAATTTCCTGGGAGAAAATATAACCTGGGTTGGTTTGTTTTTACCTATCCTTACTTTTCAAAACTCACCTTAGAAGCCCCCTCACTCAGGAAGCTGCTCTGGACTCCTGCAGCATAAGCAGGCACTCCTCCTAAACCAGGCTTTTGCCCCTTGTCTCAGTACCCATTGTGGACTTCTCCCCACCAGATCCAGAAGCTCAGCCAGGACAGGATCCCCAGCACCAGCACGTGTGTGTCATGCAGGAGACACTCAACAGATGCTTGTTAAAACATTGCATGTGTGCATGCATGAAGATGAGTACAGTAAAAGCACAGTTCGGAACCATGAGCCAAAATTTTAACTTGACTCATCATGACACCTAGTGGTGACTGGTCTCCATTGCAGACCCGACAAAATCATCACTGCTGTGGGTGCTTGTGCTTCCCTTTGTTCCAGCAAAGGCCTTCTGAGCACCAACTACTTGCCATGTGCAGGGACCATGTGCATGCAGAGGACCCTTGGGTGAGGTGGTGGGTCCCTGTCCTCCAGGGGTTTATGGGTCAACATGCACCCACTGCCGCACACCACCACATAGCATCACATTTGAGTTAATGTTACACCATCGTAGGGAGAAGTAAAGGAAACTTAGGCCAATCATGAAATCACTGGAGAAAAGAGAAAGGCAGCCTCCGAGGGAGGTGGAAGCTCTTCCTTCTCCGTGGAACTACCTCCTAACAACAGCCCGTTTGTCATCCCCTTTCACGCTAACTCGGGTTCCAGGAACCCGAATATTGTCTCAATTTCATTCCTGGCTTCACCAAACATTGACAAAAGTCAACACCTAAAGCCACGATGGCTTCCCTGACTCCTCCACCTCTTCAGAGAAAGGAGGCTGGGGAGGGAGAGGCATCCAGGAAACCCAGCCCTGTCTTCAGCTTCGATTTCTTCCAGCCTCCTTCCCTACCTCTTCAACCAAATGTTAAAGAGTAAATCCTGCCAGGCGCGATGGCTCATGCCTGTAATCCCAGCACTTTGGGAGGCCCAGGCAGGTGGATCACCTGAGGTTAGGAGTAGAGACCAGCCTGACCAACATGGAGAAACCCTGTCTCTACTCAAAATACAAAATTAGCTGGGCATGGTGGTGCATGCCTGTAATCCCAGCTACTTGGGAGGCTGAAGCAGGAGAATCACTTGAACCTGGGAAGCGGAGATTGCAGTGAGCCAAGATTGTGCCACTGCACTCCAGGCTGGGCAACTCCATTTCAAAAAAAAAAAAAAAAGTAAATCCTAATTGGCCAGCTATCTGGGAAGCAAAATAGATTCCTAGATTTCTTACACTAAAATTATAACAGAGCAAATGAAAACAGTATAAAGCCAGAATAAAACATAGATGACTTTTTTTTCTTCTGGGCTTAGGTAAATACTAGTTTCTACCAGAAGCTATAAAGGAAAACATGGAAACATTTAACTTTGTAACCCTTCTATATGGAAAAACAAAACAAAAATAAACTAGTTCCAAACCAAGACAAGATGAGGAAAAACAACAGTAAACACGCAACGAAGTGCTGCTATTTCTAAGATGCAGTGAATAGTTACAAGTCAATAAAAAATAAGTATCACAATAAAAATGGATAAAGAACAGGTAACAAGGGTCATTCGCATAGTTATATGAAAATTAAAATAAAATTGTTTGCTGGATTAATAAGGATTTGAAAACATGTAATAACTAATGCTGACAAAAGCATTCGTAAGAGTGTAAAGTGGCACATCTCCAGAGGGAAATTTGGTAATAGATATCAAAATAGCCAATGCAGGCTGTGTGCAGAGGCTCACACCTGCAATCCCGGCACTTTGGGAGGTCACAGAGAGAGGATCACCTGAGGTCAGGAGTTCAAGACCAGCCTTACCAACATAGTGAATCCCTGTCTTCACCAAAAATACAAAAATTAGCCAGGTGTGGTGATGGGCACCTGTAATCTTAGCTACTCAGCAGGCTGAGGCAGGAGAATCACTTGAACCCAGGGGGCGGAGATTGGTGTGAGCGGAGATCGTGCCACTGCACTCCATGCTGAGTGACAGAGTGAGACTCCATCTCAAAAAAACAAAAAGCTGGGTGCGGTGGCTTATGCCTGTAATCCCAGCACTTTGGGAGACCAAGGCAGGTGAATCATGAGATCAAGAGATCCAGACCATCCTGGCCAACATGGTGAAACCCTGTCTCTACTAAAAAAATTCAAAAATTAGCTGCGCATGGTGGTACGTGCTTGTAGTCTCAGCTACTTGGGAGGCTGAGGAGCCCGAGAATCTCTTGAACCAGGGAGCCAGAGGTTGCAGTGAGCAGAGATAGCGCCACTGCACTCTAGCCTCGTGACCGAATGAGACTCTGTCTCAAAAAAAAAAAAGTAAATGCATAGTCTTTTACCCAGCAGTTCCATTTCTAGAAATATATAATCTAGAAATATAGTCTAAGAAAATAATTTGCCAAGTGCATTCAGATAAAAGTTATTTGAAGCATGTTGTGTGTATGCGTGTGTGTATGTATATGTGCGTATACACACACATATGTATGTATACGCACATATACATACACACACTACATATTTATATATATCTTGAAATAATTTGTCATTCGAGTAAAATAATTTTTAATATGAGCCAAAATTATGCTTGATTAATCATGTTATGACTAATAAATTCTGGTAGGCTGATCCTACGGAATACAGATAGTCATTAGACATAGTAACGTGACATTACATTTATTATCATAAAAAACTGGTTCAGAATATCTTGCTGAGCTTTAACAACAGCAACAAAAAAGCACCATCTATAAATCCGCATAGAGGTTGCAGTTTGAAAGGAGGCTCACCCAAATGTGAGTAGTGCTTTATCCGTGGGTGGCTGCGTTTAGATTAACATTTACTTTCTTTGTACATTTAAAAATTTTTATATGGCAAGAATGTGTTGCTTTAAAATTAGAAAAACACAACTGTTTTCATTTAAAAAAAAATTAGCCCTGCCTTTCAGATATGTCCAACTCAGCTACTACATTTGACTATTGAGGCGAAAGACACAGAAACTGTATAACGTTCCTCATGAGAACAACAGGAAAGCTACATTCTGAGATTCAAGGTGAGCTGCGTGGTTCTTATCTTCCTTTGGAATGACACAGTTCTTTCAGACACCCCTAATAAGGTTGATGGCCCCTAAGAACCATCTGTAACAACATACACTATAAACATTCAACACCTGAAAGGGGCTGTCCACGGAGGCTTTGGGTCTTTCTTGTCACAGGCTCTGACCAAGCTTCCCTGCCTGGGGTAGACTCTTCCTGAGGCTCACATCTACAGTAAATGTAATTATACTTTAATGGTATTCATTGCATTCTGTCACTTTTTCCATTGCTCCTATTTTTAACTGGCACAATGGGAACATTTGTCCTCTGATTCACTGAGCGGTTTTAGGCCACTAGTGGTTTTTAAAATGACAGTCCCCTTAATCCTATCGCTGGCTTTTCCAATGAAGTAACAGCCTGTCATTAAAACAATGATGCCCGGGCAGCCTCCATGGGATACGAACAGCAGCTCAGCAAGGAATTCAGGTAATGAGATTTATCAGCAGCTGGGCCAGGAGGCAGACGAGGAAAACTCACTCTGGTCATGGCGGTGTGGCCTTTGCAAGTCACTTCAAAGTCCTGAGCTGCTGTCCCTGTGAAAGAGGCGTGGGTTCTCAGAGTCCTTTCAGTTGGGCCTATCCAGCAGAGTGAACAAAGTCAACCTGAGACTTCTGCTCCTTTGGAAGAACGTGGGGTCCTGCTCATTCAAGCAATGTACCTGGGATGTCCAAAGCTGTCGGGACAGTTGAGGACCCTCTGTCAGAGCAAATGTCATGGAGAAGTAGGCTCTATGTCCTCTGTCCCTGAGTCTCAGCCAACTTGTGTCAGCTTCAACCACTAGAATATAGTGGGTGCGATGCCCTGTGATGTCCAGGCTAGGTCACAAAAGGCCACATGCCTTCTTGAGCTCGTCACTTGCTTGCTCCTGGGACACTCCCTCTTGGAACCTAGCTCCTGTGACATGCAGAGCCAGAGCCATGAGGAAGGGGTGCAGGTGCTATAGCCAACAGTCCCAGCTGAGCTCGACCTTCCAGCCACCTCAGCCTGGCCCTGGAGATGGGGGGATGACCCAACCCAGCCACCTGATTGTCTCCCAGCATTCTGTCTGTTTTGTTTTGTTTTCTTGTTTGTTTGTTTGTTGTTGTTGTTGTTGTTGTTGTTTTTTGAGACAGGGCCTCACTCCGTCACCCAGGCTGGAGTACTTGGCATGATCTCGGCTCACTGCAACCTCTACCTCCCAGATTCAAGTGATTCTCCTGTTTCAGCCTCCTGAGAAGCTGGGATTACAGGCATGCGCCACCACACCCAGCAGATGTTTTTTGTATTCTTAGTAGAGATGGGGTTTCACCATATTGGCCATGCTGGCCTTGAACTCCTGACCTCAGGTGATCCACCCGCCTCTGCCTCACAAAGTGCTGGAATTTGACAGGTATGAGTCACTGTGCCCAGCACTCTCCCAGCGTTCTGATCCTCCCTCATTAAGGCCCCAGACATTGTGGAGCAAAGGCAAGCCCTGGCCTCTTGGGTCTCGATCCACAGAATTTGGGAGCATGACGGAAGGGTGGTCGTTCACGCCACTAGGTTTGTGATGGGTTGCTGGCAGCAGGAACAACTGCTGCCAGGTCTGACGCGAGAGTTCACATACTAAGCATGTACTTCGCTTTCCGTGTACCCTGTTCTAAGCAAAATGCAAATATTAATTTGTGTTGTAATAAAATTCATCTCTACAACAGGTCTAACTATTACTGTCTGTATTTTCCAGGTGAGGACACTGAAATTCAGAAAAGTTAGGTAACTTGCCCAAAGTCACACAGCTACCAAGTTGGAAAGACAGCATTGAAACTGAGGCACAGAATGTATGCTCTTCACCCTTGGCAGGTACTTTGCTTCTGCTCAAATCTTTCTGCACTGACTCCACCTACAGCCTCTGCTAACCACCAGCATTCTCTGTTTCTGCCTTGCCTTTCCAGGGGGCTCCAGGAAAACCCATCGGTTCTGCATATCTTGAGAAAAAAAAATCTAATAAAAAGATACCATCTCCCTAGGAAAGGGCAAGTTCATTATGCATCTTTCAGACCCACCTCATGAGGACTTCTGGTCCTGACCTGATTTCTTGGAGGCCCCAGGCAGGGGCTAACTTACATGTTTGTAGCCGCGCATACAGCCAGAGATTACTTCTTCAGCGGCAAGCCCCCACTCAGAAGTCATTTTCTTTGGGGGCACATTGAGTTTCCAAGTGTTTGTGAGCTTACTCAGCAGGCCTGCTGTCTCCAAAAGAGGACCCTGCATGGCAGTGGCCTTCAAGAGCCTTCAGGAGCTGTTAGAGGCTGGATGTATCTGATTCTATAAAAACATTTACACACACCCAGTAGCACATCCTAATCAATAAAGTATAATCCTTTGTGGCCTTCTGGCAGAAACTCTTTTTTGTAACTCTACTTCCATCATTTGCAAGTTTTTCCGGTCAGGTACAGAGGCTCACGCCTATAGTCCTGGCATTTTGGGAGGACAAGGCGGTCAGATAACAAGGTCAGGAGATCGAGATCATCCTGGCTAACACGATGGAACCCTGTTGCTACTAAAAAATTCAAAAACTTAGCCGGGCATGGTGGCACATACCTATAGTACCAGCTACTCCGGAGGCTGAGGCAGGAGAATCGCTTGAACCTGGGAGGCAGAGGTTGCAGTGAGTGGAGATTGCATCAGTGCAATCCAGCCTAGGTGACAGAGCAAGACTATGTCTCAGAAAAAAAAAAAAAAAGAAAACTTTTTCCTAGAGCCATGGGGTCTATTGAAGTGCCATTAGATCATGTACACATCAGTAACAAAAGTCTCCTCCACTCTAGATGTTTAAAAATCCTTCCCTTTGGTTGATCTTTATGTTTTTATTTTTTTGAGATGGGCTTTCACTCTTTTGCCGAGGTTGAAGTGCAGTGGTGGGATCACAGCTCACTGTAGCCTCCACCTCCCGAGGCTCAGGTGATCCTCCCACCTCAGCCTCCTGAGTAGCAAGGACTACAGGCATGTTCCACTATGCTGGCTAATTTTTTGTAGAGACAGGGTTTCACCAGGATGCCCAGTTTGGTCTCAAACTCTTGAGCTTAAGCAATCTGTCTGCCTCGGCCTCAAAGTGCAAGGATTACAGGTATGAACCATTGCAGTAGGCCCAGTTGATCTTTTTTAAACAAATAAAAGTCTGAATAACAATGGCGTAGCTTCTTACCCATCTACTATTCTACTTGCAGAACAAAAGAAATAAACATGAATTTAAACATAATTGCCAAGAGAGAGCTTTCAAACATCATTGATTCTTCCTTCCTTCCATCCCTCCCTTTTTTCTGTGCCCCTTTCTATCTTTCAATTATGTGCTTTCTGGTTTTAGGGTGAGAACTATGAGAAGTCACAGACACAGGAGAACACTGGGAAAGTACTGGGAGGAAATTGCATCTATTTGATCAAAGCCACAGCTTTACAAATCACCTCAAGCCCATCCTGCATGACTCAGAATTCATTCTGAAACGATTCCCTCCCTCCCCAGGCATTGCTTGACAATTGAACATAAAAATATATCCACTAACCCAAAGTTAATTCTCCCAAAACCTGTCACTGTCCAGATTATGTTTGGCAGAATATAAGCCACTGGATCTGCTAAGGCAAGTTAGGGAAGGTGAAGCAAGGATCGTGGGAGGGAGTTCTCCAGTCCAGAGAACTTCCATTCTGCTTCATGGCCTGCACCTGTCTGGTTCTGTTTTTCTCATACTCACTCCAACACAATGAAAAGTGGAAAATATGCCTTGAACTCCAGTGATGTTCATTTACTCTCTTTGAATGTGGTCACATGCCTCTGGGCTGGATATTATTCTAAAAAAATCACCTCCTGGAATCCCTGAAGGTAAAAAGAGCAGCCTAGATGCAGCACAGCTCAGCGCATGGACGAACACGGCTCCAGCCTCCTCTTTCCATGTTGATGCTTGGCCTGTAGCTTAGAGGGTGGCTCTATTACATGAGCTTATGAATACTTCGAGATAACCTAGTTGACTGTGATGAAGTAAAGTGGTAGATTTTAAAAAGTCAAAGAATTTAGAATGTAATGGAGGAGGAGGAGAGTTGCCTTGGAAGGTGATAAATGTCCCACTGTGACAACACAAAGCCCTCCTCTACATAATACTGCAAGAACCACCTCTGGCTAAGATACCAAGAAGGGAAAGGATGATCTAGAGGCAGAGATGGGTATTTTTTAACATCCTAAGAAAAATGTGAGAGTACGATTAGAAAAAATATTATACAAGAAGGATGGTGTACATGTGTAAACATAAAAGAGAAGAAAACGATATGAAATTCTCTAAATAAGAGCATTAAAAGATGTCATCTAAGAGTGTCCCCAAATTGTACTGAAAACCTACCTTAAGAGTTGTGAGTCATGCAAGGCCCAGCTTGTATCCGCAAGTACTAGATCGAGCAATTAATCTCAAATTAGGAAATCTTTCATGATGTCAAAGCTTCAGTGCTTTCAAAAACTAAGATGCTGCAGTGATGACAGTGATGATGACGATGGTCACTATTATTACAAGAGCAGCAACAATGAAACTCCTTTCTAAGTAAACAAAACCTCAGCTAAGTACTTAGAAATCTTGGCTCATTTAATCCCCACACAACCGCAGGGGTTAGATCCTTTTCACAGATGAGAAAATTGAGGCATAGGGAGGCTAAACACACTCACTTGGCACCATGAGAGGCCTCCAAGCTCCACTGAAGGTGATGATAAAGACAAAGATGAAGCCATCTGCTCCAAGAAGGTGGGCAGGTCCTTTCCAGGTAATTTGGAGTCACCCCGGGTTTCAAGGTCTAGTCCTCAGCCTGACATATTTAACAAGCTCCTTTGTTAATTCAGAGGTAATCCAGTCTCAGGAATTGTACCAATTAACACAGGTTCAGATTTAATTATAAATCAGAATATCCCTTTTTTTTTTTTTGAGACAGAGTCTCATTCTGTTGCTCAGGCTGGAGTGCAGTGGTGCAATCTCAGCTCACTGCAGCTTATACCTCCCAGGTTCAAGCAATTCTCCTGCCTCAGCCTCCTGAGTAGCTGGGATTACTCAGGTGAGTGCCACCATACCCAGCTAACTTTTGTACTTTTTTTTAGTAGAGATGGGGATTCACCATGTTGGTCAGGTTGGTCTCGAACTACGGACCCATGATCCAGCCACCTTGGCCTCCCACATTTTTAATTAAGAGGTTCCTGGCTCAGTATGTTTTTCATTGTGCCCCTAAGTCAAAAGAAATACAGTTTACCCTTGAACGATATAGGTTTGAACTGCCTGGGTCCACTTATATGTGTTTTTTTTTTTCAACCAAATGCCAATTGATAATATAGTATTCAGGTCAGGTGCAGTGGCTCAAGCCTGTAATCCTAGCACTTTGGGAGGCCAAGGTGCGTGGATTGCCTGAGCTCAGGAGTTCAAGGTCAGTCTATGGAACAAGGTAAAACCCCATCTCTACTAAAAATACAAAAAATTGGCTGTGTGTGGAGGCATGTGTCTGTAATCCCAGCTACTCGGGAGGCTGAGACAGGAGAATCACTTGAACCCAGGAGATTGCAAAGAGCCGAGATGGCACCATTGCACTCCAGGCTGGGCGCCAAAGTGAGATTCCATCAAAAAAAGAAAGAAAGAAAGAAAGAAAAATAAATAAATAAGGAAAGAAAGAAAGAGAAAACTATTCTCCGGATGTAAAACCTGCCTATAAGATCTTTTAGGGTCAGGTGCAGTGGCTCACTATTGTAATCTCAGCACTTTGAGAGGCTGAAGTGGGTGGATCGCCTGAGGTCAGAAGTTTGAGACCAGCTTGGCCAACATGGTGAAATGCTATCTCTATTAAAAATACAAAAAGTAGCTGGTGTGGTGGTGCACACCTGTAATCCCAGCTACCTGCAAGACTGAAGCAGGAGAATTACTTGAACCTGTGAGAGGTTCTATTGTTCAGGCTGGAGTGCGGTGGTGCAATCTCAGCTCACTGCAACCTCCACCTCCCAGGTTCAACCAGTTTTCCTGCCTCAACCTCCCGAGTAGCTAGAACTACAGGCACGCACCACCACCTCCGGCTAATATTTGCATTTTTAGCAGAGATGGAGTTTCACCATGTTGGCCAAGCTGATCTTGAACTCCTGACCTCAAGTGATCTGCCCATCTTGGCCACCCACAGTGCTGGGATTATAGGCATCAGCTACCACGCCCGGCCTAAGACTTTTTAGCATAGGCAGGTTCTGCAGGGCCGACTGCAGGATTGGGTACGCAGAGCTGGTTATTCGCTGGTGGCCCTGACACCAATTTTCTGCATACACTGAGCGAGACTTCAATGACTTTCATTAAGCAGTTAGGGCCAAACAAATTTATTTTTATTCTTTTCAAACAATTTAGTAAGATTTTATGCCTTTAACTTTCAGCTGCTTGACCAAATACATATGAAAATTGAAAGGAAAATTACCTATTAATATGAGTGCGTACCCGTTGGATGCTGCATAAGTCCTCCCACCTTGGAATTGGAGATACCACCCCCTCATATCCTGCTCCACATTGGTTTGAGCTATACCTGCTTTTATCACAGCAATCGATAAAAACTCAACTTCCGAAAGGTCAAAGGAATGTGGCACAAGCTAATGTGGAAACTGCACACCGTTTGGAGCTAACGGCTCCTGAAGTATTCAATAAATGCACAGTATTGCGGTGCTTCTCTTGAGAACTTACCTTATGCCCATGAACTTGCTGCCGGGGTCTGGGGCACTTCAGCAAACAGTTTAGGAACTGCAGTATTAATTTATACTAAGAAATAGAACTGCTACTTAAGAAAGGTAACTGCCAAGGGTACTGGACTTCTCACTTTTTTTGTTCACAAATAGGACTGAGAAACCAAATCAGAGTCAGAAAGCCTTTGGGGCCCAGAGAGACAACGTGGGGATGACAGATCTACCCTGACATGGGTCTAGTTACTGCAGTTACCCAGTGAGCGTGTGTGTGTGTGTGTGTGTCTGGGTGCAAGCATGTAATACACTGTTTCATTTAGGTATCTCCAATCTCAGAACAGAAAGTTGCAAGCTTGTGATGCTTTTCTGTAACATTTGCTAAAAGACAAAGGATTGATTTGTGTTGGAAATAGATGTTCATGCTGCAAAGAAAAATTAGCACTGAGACAAAGGCTCTTTCAGCAATGCAATTTCTACTTCCTGGGCTGCAGGAAGGGTACGCTTGCTAACCATCTTGCCACAAGAGTACAATGAACAAAGGAAAATATGCACATTTATCCCTTACGCATTTGGGGCTGTCCTTACTGCTCTGTCTCATCTCTGTTGGCTGGAGCCAGACCTCACAATTTAAACTAAAACCCGATTGGCTAATAACTTAAAACTTTTCTAAACAGATGAAAGCAATGTAGAGCTGGGACATGCCTGTGAGCACATCCAGCACAGACATTTTCGTTAAAGTACAAGGACATAGAATGTACTATGTGCCTGTAAGCATGGCATGTTTAAAATTTTCTAATTGTCATCTCAGAGAGTTACTTATCAAAAAAAAATAGTATTGGTTTTTACTTTTTCTTTAAAAAACTCTATTTTATATATATTCAAGGAAAATTAACAGCATTTTTCTTATCAAGAAGTTGGTATATTCAGTATTTTAAATGTCAATAAACAGATACAGAGAGTTAAAGATATGCCTTCAAACTCAAAAGCTAGAGCCAGGCACAGTGGCTCAAGCCTGTATTTCCAGCACTTTGGGAGGCTGAAGTGGGTGGATTGCCTGAGGTCAGGAGTTTGTGACCAGCGTAGTGGCCAACGTAGTGAAACCTCGTCTCTACTAAAAATACAAAAAATTAGCTGGGTGTGATGGTGGGTGCCTATAATCCCAGCTACTAGGGAGGCGGAGGCAGGAGAATTGCTTGAACCTGGGAGGTAAAGGTTGCAGTGAGCCAATATTACACCATTGCACTCTAGCCTGGGAAACAAGAGGAAAACTTCGTCTAAAAAAATGCAAAACTAAAAGCTAGAATGGTCAAGTTAAAATAACCTAACATACCTTCATCCACTGTGGGATAAAACTACATTTCATTGGTTCTAAGCATCCTCCCCTCATTGTTAATATCTCTGAGGTCAGGGTGCATCTTATGCTGCTGTGGGAGGTGGCAGCTGTGATGAAGTTGTCACTGCATGCCACCTTCTGGTGGGATCAAGAAAGCACCATCATCAAAACTAGCAGAAAAGACACTAGAGCTAGACTCTTGATGGAAGGACATTTTCATGAATATCTTTGCCGGCTTACAGGAAGATATCATGTTATTGCACTTGCATATATGGTTTTTTACAAATTGAAGGGTTGAGACAACCCCGCATCACGCAAGCCTTTGGTGCCATTTCCCCAACATCATGTGCTCACTTCGTGTCTCTGTCACGTTTTGACAACTCTTGCAATATTTCCAACCTTTTCCTTGTTATTTTATCTGTCAGGATCACAGATCAATGATCTTTGATGTTACTGTTGCAGTTGTTTTCGGGTGCCACAAACCACACCTATGGAAGACAAACTGACTTCTTCCTTACATGTTGTGTGTCTGTCTGCACCACAGATGGGCCGTTTCCCTAACTCTCCCATCTCCCTATTCCCTGAGACACAACAATATTGAAATTAGGCTAACTGGTAACTCTACAGTGGCCTCTAGGTGTTTAAGTGAAAGGAAGCATTGCACATCTCTCACTTTATATCACAATTAGAAATGATTAAGCTTTGTAAGAAAGGCATGTCAAAAGCTGAGATAGGCTCAAAGCTAGGCCTCTTGCAGCAGTTAGCCAAGCTGTAAATGCAAAGGATAAGTTATTAAAGGAGATTAAAAGTGCCGCTCCAGTGATCACATGATTGATAAGAAAGCAAAACAGTCTTATTGCTGATATGGAGAAAGTGTTAGTGGTCTGGATGGAAGATCAAACCAGCCACAACATTCCTTTAAATCAAAGCCTAATCCACTGTAAGGCTCTAACTCTCTTTAATTCTATGAAGGCTGAGAGAGGTGAGAAGGCTGCAAAAGAAATGTTTGAAGCTAGCAGAGGTTGATTCATGAGGTTTAAGGAAAGAAGCTATCTCACCTGGGCTCGGTGGCTCACATCTGTAATCCCAGAACTTTGGGAGGCCAAGGTAGATGGATCACTTGAGGTCAGGAGTTTGAGATCAGCCTGACCAACATGGTGAACCCCTGTCTGTACTGAAAATACAAAATTAGCCTGTAATCCCAGCTACTTGGGAGGCTGAGGCAGGAGAATTGCTTGAACCCATGAGGCAGTGATTGCAGTGAGCCGAGATTGTACCACTGCACTCCAGCCTAGGTGACAGAGGGAAACTCTATCTTAAATAAATAAATAAACAAGTCATCTCCATAACATAAAAGTACAAGGTAAAGCAGCAAGTACTGATGTGGAAGCTTCAGCAAGTTATCCAGATGATCTAGCTAAGGTCATTGATGAAGGTGGTTACATTAAATGACAGATTTTCGGTGTAGATGAAACAGACTTCTGTAGGAAGAAGACACACTCTAGGACTTGCATCGCTAAAGAGAGAAAGTCAATGCCTTGCTTTGAACTTCAAAGGACATACTCTTTTATGTGGAGACAGATTCTCTTGTCAGGAGCTAATGCAGCTACTGACTTTAACTTGAAGCCATGCTCATTGACCATTCCAAAAATGTACGGCCCTTAAGAATGAGGTTAAAACTCCTCTGCTTGTGCTCTATAAATGGAAAACCAAAGCCCAGATAGTAGCATATCTGTTTACAGCATAGTTTACTAAATATTTGAAGCCCTACTGCTGGGACCTACTGCTCAGGAAAAAAAGATTCTTTTCAAAGTATTACTGCTTGTTGACAGTGCACTGGTTACCAAAGAGCTCTGGAGGAGATGTACAAAGAGATGAGTGTTGTATTCACATCTGCTAACACAACATCGGTTCTGTAGCACAGGGGTCAAGGAGCAATTCTGATTTTCGCGTCTTATTATTTAAGACATTTATTTCCTAAGGCTACAGTTGCCACAGATAGTGTTTCCTCTGATGGGTCTGGGCAAAGAAAATTGAAAACTTTCTGGAAAGGAGTCATCATTCTACTTTTGTTTTGTTTTGTATTGTTGAGACAGAGTCTCTCTTTGTCACTCAGGCTGGAGTGCAATGGTGTGATCTCTGCTCACCACAACCTCTGTCTCTGAGGTTCAAGCAATTCTCCTGCCTCAGCCTCCTGAGTAGCTGAGACTACAGGTGCCCACCACTGTGCCTGGCTGATTTTTGTATTTTTAGTAGAGACGGAGTTTCACCATGTTGGCCAAGCTGGTCTCGAACTTCTGACCTCAAGTGATCTGCCTGCCTTGGCCTCCCAAAGTGCTGGGATTACAAGCATGCCACTGTGCCCTGCTGGACTCACCATTCTAAACACCATGAGGACATTTGTGATTCCTTGGAGGAGGTCAAACATCAACATTAATTGGAGTTTGAAAAAAGTTGGTACCAATCCTCCTGGATGACTTTGAGGTGTTCAAGACTTCAGCAGAGGGAGTCACTGCAGGTGTGGTGGAAACAGCAAGAGAACTAGAGTTAGAAGTGGAGCCTGAGGATGGGACTGAATTGCTGCAATGTCATAAGAAAACTTTAACAAACAGGAAGTTGCTTTTAATGGATGAGCCAAGAAAGTGGTTTTCTGGGAGATGAAATGTACTCCTGGTGAAGATGCTGTGAACATTGTTGAAATGACACATCCCACTGTTGAATATTCCATAAATGTACTTGATTAAAGCAGCAGCAGGGTTTGAGAGGATTGACTCCAATTCTGAAAGAAGTTCTACTGTGGATAAAATTCTATCAAACAGCATTTCATGCTACAGAGAAATCTGTCAAGAAAGGAATCAATGAGGAAAGCTTTGTTTCCTCATCCATGGTGTCATCCATGCAGTTCTTCTCTAAGGCGCAGACACTTGCTCAGCCTTCGTGGAAGCACAGTCTGGAAACGCAGGGCAGTCTCAAGCGGTGGATGCCAGCATTGGGTAGTAATTAAGCAAGATCCTGTCTGTGGGTGGACGACTCTGGGAGGTCATCTACGTGCTTCTTAGAGGTCTCAAAGGGATTGAGTTTCCACTGCCACCAACCCTGACCTCAGAGTCCCACGCTCTATTAGCTTTTCCCTTTCCCCATGCCTGAATCTTTGGGGGTTTTGTTTGTTTTTGCTTTTTATTGAAAGACAGGGTCTTGCTCTATTGCCCTGGCTGGATTGCAGTGGTGCAATCTTGGCTCACTGCAACCTCCACCTTCTGGGTCCAAGGGAATCTCCTGCCTCAACTTCCGAAGTAGCTGTGACTACAAACATGCACCACCACATTCAGCTAATTTTTTTTTATTGAGACAGAGTCTTGCTCTGTTGCTCAGGCTGGAGTGCAGTGGCTCGATCTTGGCTCACTGCAACCTTCACCTCCCAGGTTCAAGTGATTCTCCTGCCTCAGCCTCCCAGGTAGCTGGGACTACTGGTACATGCCACCATGCTCAGCTAATTTTTTGTATTTTTAGTAGAGATGGGGTTTCACCGTGTTAGCCAGGATGGTCTTGATCTCCTGACCTTGTGGGCCACCTGCCTTGGCCTCCAAAGTGCTGGGATTACAGGTGCGAGACTCCATGCCTGTCCTAATTTTTGTATTTTTAGTAGAGACAGAGTTTCACTATATGTTGGTCAGGCTAGTCTCGAACTCCTGACCTCAGGTGATCTACCCACCTCAGCCTCCCAAAGTACTGAGATTACAGGCATGAACCATCACAACCAGCCACATGTTTGCATCTGTGGATCTCTTGAACAAAGTGCACCCAAGTCTCCGCTCAGGATCTGCATCTGGGCAGACTCCTGTGTGGCCCCTTAGTTCTGGCTCTTTACTATAGACATGTGACCATCAAGAACAGATTACCACCTTTCTTACAGGAGTTACAATTTCCTTTTTTTTTTTTTTTTTTTTTTTGAGACAGAGTCTCTCTCTGCACCCACGCTGGAGGGCAGAGGTGCAACCTCTCCTCACTGCAACCTCTGCCTCCTGGGTTCAAGCAATTATCCTGCCTTGATCTCCCAAGTAGCTGGGATTACAGGTGTGTGCCACCACACCTGGCTACTTTTTGTAATTTTAGTAGAGACAGAGTTTCACCACGTTGACCAGGCTGGTCTCAAACTCCTGACCTCAAGTGATTCACCTGCCTCAGCCTCCCAAAGTGCTGGGATTACAGGGGGTATGCCACTGCCTGGTACAATTTTCATTTTGAAGTGACTCATGAACGACTATATTGGGAGAAATGCCAAATATGGGTGAAGGGGAGGAAGGCAGCAAAGCACACTGCCATGTGTGTACCTATGCAACTATCTTGCATGTTCTGCACATGTACCCCAAAACCTAAAATGCAATAAAAAAATAAAATAAAATAAAATAACTTTATATTTTTAGTATTGTTTAGGTTTGCAGAAAAATTCAGAAGCTAGCGCAGTGAGTGCTCATATATCCGGCACCAGTTTTCTCTCCTGTTAACATCTTACAAGAGCATGGTACACCTGTTTCAATGAGTGAATCAGTACTGACACATAATTAGTAACCAAAGTCTATGTGGTTTTCTGGCTGATGCTCTCTTTCTGTTCTAGGACCTTATCCAGGACACCACATTCCATCTACTAGTCAGGTCTTCTTAGCCACCTCTTGGCTATAAAAGTTTCTCAGATTTCCATTGTTTTTGATGACCTTGACAGTTTTTCTGGTCAGCTATTCTGTAGAATGTTCTTCAATTTGGACTTGTCAGATATTTTTGTCTTAATTACTATGGTTTGGTTTTTTAGAGGAAGACCAAAGAAGTGAAGAGTCATTGTCATGACATCACACCCAGGGCCCGTCCTACCAATACGACTCATCACTGTTGATTTGGACCTCGATCACGCAGCTGAGATGGTGTCAGGATTCTACACTATAAAGATACTCTTCCCAGCTGGGCTTAGTGGCTCATGGCTATAATCCCAGCACCTTGGAACGCTGAGGCAGGTGGATCATTTGAAGTCAGGAGTTCAAGACTGGCCTGGCCAAGATGGCGAAATGCCATCTCTACTAAAAATTAAAGAAAAAAATTAGCTGGGTGTGGTGTTGGGCACCTGTAATCCCAGCTATTGTGGAGGTTGAGGCAGAAGAATTGCTTGAACCTGGGAGGCGGAGGTTGTAGTGAGCCAAGTTCAAGACATTGTAGTCCAACCTGGGCAAGAGAGAGAGATTCTGACTCAAAAAAAAAAAAAAAAAAGATATTCTTCCTACTTCCCTTTTCATATTGTATACTTTGGAAGGAAGTTACTATGTACAAACCACCCTTAAAGAGTGGGGTATTTGAAATACAGAGTATCTATATGCTATTTGGAATGCTGCCTGGGTGATGGCCTCTTCTCCTTGATATATGTGTGCGTGTGTGTGTGTGTGTGTGTGTGTGTGTGTGGAGAGAGAGAGAGAGAGAGAGAGAGTTTTGCTTTTATTGTCCAGGCTGATCTCCTAGGTTCAAGCGATTCTCCTGCCTCAGCCTCCCTAGTAGCTGGGATTACAGGCCTGCACCAACACGCTCAGCTAATTTTGTATTTTTAGTAGAGACAGGGTTTCTCCATGTTGGTCAGGCTGGTCTCGAACTCCTGACCTCAGGTGATCCGCCTGCCTTGGCCTCCCAAAGTGCTGGGATTACAAGTGTGAGCCATCATGCCTGGCCAGCAGTCTCTTTGTTAATTCACTACAACTGAATCTCTATAATATAGGAGATTTTCTCCATAGGCTGTGAATGCCAGCAGATACACAGATATCTCTCTGTTCAGCCAATTCTGTCATAACCTTCAAAAGAGTATTTCTTTTTTTTTTCTGAGATGGAGTCTTGCTCTGTTGCTATATTGCCCAAGGTAGAGTGCAGTGGCAAGATCTTGGCTCACTGAAACCTCCACCTCCCAGGTTTAAGCAATTCTCCTGCATCAGCCTCCTGAGTAGGCTGATGCCACCATGTCCAGCTAATTTTTGTATTTTTGGTGGAGATGGAGTTTGGCCATCATGTTGGCCAGGCTGGTCTCAAACTCCTGACCTACTGATCCACCTGCCTTGGCCTCCCGAAGTGCTGGGATTACAGGCATGTGCCACCACACCCAGCTAATTTTTATATTTTTAGTAGAGATGGGGTTTTACCATGTTGGCCAAGCAGATCTAGAACTCTTAACCTCAGGTGATCCACCTGCCTCAGCCTCCCAAAGTACTAAGATGACAGACATGAGCCACTGGGCCTGGCCCTTGAGGGATATATTTCTTTTTTCTTTCTCTTTCTTTTTATTATGATTTTTTGAGATGGAGTCCCACTCTGTTGCCCGATGTGAAGTGCAGTGGTGCCATCTCTGCTCACTGCAGCTTCTGCCTTGTGGTTCAAGTGATTCTCCTGCCTCAGCCTCCCGAGTAGTGGGGATTACAGGCACACTCCACCACACACAACTAATTTTTGTATTTTTAGTAGAGATGGAGTTTCACCATGTTGGGCAGGCTGGTCTCAAACTCCTGACCTCGTGATTCACCCGCCCTGGCCTCCAAAGTATTGGGATTACAGGCGTGAGCTACCGTGCCTGGCTGACAAATATATTTCTTTTTTGTTGTTGCCCAGGCTGGAGTGCAATGACCAGATCTCAGCTCACTGAAACCTCTGCCTCCCAGGTTCAGCAATTCTCCTCACTCAGCCTCCCAAGTAGCTGAGATTATAGGCATGTGCCACCACGCCCAGCTAATTTTTTGTATTTTTAGTAGAGATGGGGTTTCTCCTTGTTGGTCAGGTTGGTCTTGAACTCCTGACCTCAGGTGAGCTGCCCTCCTTGGCCTCCCAAAGTGTTGGAATTACAGGCTTGAGCCATGGTGCCTGGCCTGATAGATATATTTCTAATTATTGCTTTCTTTACTCCAAACCATGGAAAAGGATTTAACAGGCTAGGCACGGTGGCTAACGCCTGTAATCCCAGCACTTGGGAGGTCGAGGTGGGCAGATTATGAGGTCAGGAGATCAAGATCATCTTGGCCAACATGGTGAAACCCCGTCTCTACTAAAAATACAAATATTATCTGGGCGTGGTGGGGCGTGCCTGTAATCCCAGCTACTCGGAGAATGAGGCAAGAGAATCACTTGAACCAGAGTGTCAGAGGTTGTAGTGAGTGGAGACTGTGCCACTGCACTCCAGCCTGGTGACAGAGTGAGACTCTGTCTCAAAAGAAAAAAAAGGATCTAACAAATGATGCCCTTGCAGAAGAGTGAAGTTCTCCTGGCAATGTTCTCTTTAACCCATGATGTGGGTTAAGAGGAGTGAACCAATGTTCTGTTTCTGACTGATTATGAGGCAATGTATGTACATTAGTTTCTCACCTACATTCAGCCTTCATCTTTTTTTTTTTTTTGACTCAGAGTCTCACTCTGTTGCACAGGCTGGAGCATAATGCCACTATCTCAGCTCACTGCAACCTCTGTCTTCTGAGTTCAAGTGATTCTCCTGCCTTAGCCTCCTGAATAGTTGGGATTACAGGCACCCACCACCATGCCCAACCAATTTTTGTGTTTTTAATAGAGGCAGGGTTTCACCATGTTGGCCAGGCTGGTATCAAATTCCTGACCTCGTGATCCATCTGCCTTGGCCTCCCAAAGTGCTGGGATTACAAGTGTGAGCCACTGTACCCCGCCATCCTTCACCTTTTATTTATCAAAATACATAGTTATCCATATACAAGGCTGGCTGGAAACTCTTTCACAAGTAAAAGTATGCCCCGTAAGTGCACCTAACAGACTCCTTTCACTTCTATTGTTCACAGAGGCGTAAGCAAGGGAAAAATATTCAAAGATAAGAGTCTTATGATAGTAGAGAAGTCTTGAGGCCGGGTGTGGTGGCTCATGCCTGTAATCCCAGCACTTTGGGAGGCTAAAACAGACAGATCACCTGAAGTCAAAAGCTCAAGACCAGCCTGGCCAACATGGGGAAACCCTGTCTCTACTAAAAATACAAAAATTAGAGGCTGGGCATGGTGGCTCGCACCTGTAATCCCTGCACTTTGGGAGGCTGAGGAGGGTAGATCTCCTGAGGTTAGGAGTTCGAGACCAAGCTGGCCAACATGATGAAACCCCGCCTCTAATAAAAATACAAAAATTAGCTGGGTGTGGTGGCAGGTGCCTATAATCCGACCTACTCTGGAGGCTGAGGCAGAAGAATTGCTTATACCCAAGAGGTGAAGGTTTCAGTGAGCTGAGATCATGCCACTGCACTCCAGCCTGGGGGACAGGGACAGAGTGAGATTCTGTCTCAAAAAAAAAGGGTAAGCCAGTTACAGTGGCTTACACCTGTAATTCCAGAACTTTGGGAGGACAAGGTAGGAGGATCACTTGAGGCTAGGAGTTTGAGATAAACCTGGACAACATAGCAAGACCCCATCTTTACAAAACATTTTTGAAAAATTAGCCAGGTACAATGGCATGTGCCTGTAGTCTCAGCTACTCAGGAGGCTGAGGCAAGAGGATTGAGCACAGGAGGCTGAGGCTGCGGTGGGCCATGCTTGTGCCACCACAGTCCAGCCTGGGTGACAAAGTGAGACCCTGTCTCTCAAAAAAATAATTCAGAATAGAGAAAGGTATGAATTGCAAGTTAAAGCATGCCACGTCCCAGATTTCCTGCAGAAGTATTGATGCATGTCCCAAGAAGTCTGTATTCATTTCCCAGTGCTGCCGAAACAAAGTACCCTAAACTGTGTGGCTGCAACCACAGAGGTTTATTCTCACCGTTCTGGAAGTCAGGAGTCTGAAGACAAGGGGATTTTGTTTGTTCATTTTTCCTGTGCAGGCTGTGAGGGTGGATCTGTCCCAGGTCTCGCTCCTGGATTCTCGTAGCCTCCAGAATTCCTTGGCTTGTAGGTGGCCTTGTGTCTCTGTCTTGACATCATCTTCCCTTTGTAGGTCTGTGTCCACATGCCCCCTTTTTATAAAGACACCAGGCCTATGGGATTAGGGTTCACTCTCATCACCTCAGCTTAGCTTGACCATATGTGAAGACCCTACTCCCAAATAAGGTCACATCCACAGACCCTGTGGCATACAGCTTCAATGTCTTTCAGGGAGAAGCAGTACAACCCATAATGCTATAGATTTGCAAATAGTTTTAGTTTGCGTTTCTGAGTTTTCTTTTTTCTTTTTCACATCAGATGGGTGATGTGATGATGTAACAAGTTTTGAGGGAAGCACGTGTCATACAACAGCATGAAAATCCATTCGTCATGCTTAGGCTTTGGTGTTTTCATTTTTCTTTTCTTTTGGTTTTGAGACAGGCTCTTGCTCTGTTGCTCAGGCTGGAGGGCAGTGGTGCAAATATGGCTCACGCAGCCTTGACCTCCTAGGCTCCAGTGATGTTCCCACCTCAGCCTCCCAAGTAGCTGGGACTACCGGCAGGCGCCACCACACTTGACTAATTTTTTTGTATATATTTTTGTAGAAATGGGGTCTCACTATGTTGCCCAGGTTGGTCTCAAACTCTTGGGCTCACACAATCTGCCCACCTTGCCCTCCCAAAGTGCTAGGATTACAGGCATGAGCCACCATGCCCAGCCATCTTTTTTTTCTTTCAACATAAGGATCACACCCTAATTTTTGTTTGTACCCTGCTCTTTTTACTCAAAAACATTCTTTGGCAGTTGGGTGTGGTGGCTCATGTCTGTAATCCCAGCACTTTGGGAGGCTGAGGTGGGTGGATCACTTGAGGTCAAGAGTTCGAGATCAGCCTGGCAAACATGGTGAAACCCCATCTACTAAAAATACAAAAGTTAACTGGACATGGTGGTGTGTGCCTGTAATCCCAGTGACTTGGGATGATGAGGCAGGAGAATCACTTGAACCCAGGAAGCTGAGGTTGCAGTGAGCTGAGTCCATACTACTGCACTCCAGCCTGGACAGCAGAGCAAGACTCCAACTAAACCACACACACACACACACACACACACACACACACAAAGCTTGGCAATCTTTTTTTTTAAAAGCACAATCAGAAGAATTGGCAATCTTTTTATACCAGCATGTGTTGGTACAATTTAAATTCTATTTTAGATTTCATTTAGATTAATTCAATCTAAATACTATTCTGTTAAACTCTACAATAAAAAAATAGGCAATGCATTTAAATGATTCAAAATTCAAAAGCTATGAAAGGGTATAGAACTGAGCCTCCCATATAGTAGCCAGTGGCAT